GGTTGAAGAAAGCGCCGACATTATAACCTAAATTAGCCGAGAGTACATAGATTTTGAAACTGAACAGAAAAAGAATAGATATAATTTCGATCGCAAAGTTGTAAAATTTTGAAGTCGCAAAGATAGCATTTTAGGTCACTTTCTCCATATTGGATTTTTGAATTTTGAATATTTGACTGTAAATTCGACTTTATCGTTATAAAACACTTTCTGGCACCAAGTTTTACAAAAATCGATCGCGCAAGAGCCGTATATAGTATGATCAGTAGGACTCTATACAGTTGTAAACGATACCAGTCAATTTGCACTCGATAGTGCGCCTTCATTTCCGTCTGATACTGTGCAATACTTCTGTGGTGAAATAGTTGCTTAGGGCGCCTTCAACTGTGTCGCCTCGACTTGACGGCAGAAGATCACGATTACCGCTGAAATTACACGGTGGTGTATGCGCTGTGACACATTTTCTCATCACCGACGGACAATAAAAAACATGCATATTCCTCAATTTGCCACGTTCCATGTTTTTCACCGCTTATTTTAAAGGGATAACTGCCAATCATGATTGTATCGACTTCGTGTAAATTGTATCTAACCTTTCAGGTTACATTTTAAAAATGTTGTATTTTTATTTATATATTTGTAAAGTTATAAAAATATTATCATCTCCAACAAAGTAACGTCACGGTTTTAAAATATAATTTCCACCTTGAGAATAATTAGAAATAAAAGTTTAGAAAAAGAGGGTTGCTCGAAAATTTTTTTGAAACCCATTTACAAAAACAATTGAACCAATATTAATCAATATATTATTACAATTCGTCACCCTCTCACCGACATCAACAAGAGTTTTCAACTCCTTCTTTTCGAAGGCATGCTTTTCTCGAATTATTGGACTAATAATATTGCCAGGACCAGTCACTGTTTGAAAGGGTAGAACAATTAACTTTTTAAAATAATGATTAAATATTTTTGATCCAATCCTATTTTTGGTCGAATAACAAAATGAGATTAAGTGGTCAAATATCAGTCACACAAGAGTGACGCAACTTTGTATAAATTTTAGTATTAAGATAAGAATTGGCACATCTTCTGTTTCGGAGTTTTCTGAAACCTTCTTCCCTCAACATTTTTTTGAAATGACACCTTTATTTAATTTGACCACATTTGCTGAATATTTCTGGATTAAAACAATCTGATAAGTAAAGCTAAAGAAAAATAATAATTGATATTAATATTATAACCTCCCAAGACCCGTAGATTTGCCAATTTTTACAGTACTTCTGTCCTGAGTCCACTTTAACCTTTCGCTTTTTTACTTGTCACACCGTTAAAAATCGCAAAAAAAGTTAATCTACCGTTTGCAGCAGAAAATAGAACATGAGAGCTCGCCTATAAGTCATTCAATGGTGTTGGTAGGGCTTTGGCGACTCAAATTACAACTTGAAAAGAAGAGTCGATTTTCCACAGGGTCTCTAGCACCACTAAAATAAATGGAAAGACGTCTTATCCTGGGGACTTAGGCGGACGATTCGCTACACTCTCACCGTCATCAACATGCGTTTTCAACTCCTCATTTTTGAAGGCATGCTATCGCAAAAATTCTGCAATGCTTTTTACCGATTTTTTGTTTTCGTTCCTTTAAAAATTGAGGCCATTTCGAGGACACTCTTCTCATCTTTAGACTCTTCTGTTATTAAGGAGAAGTAGAAGTACATCACGATTTTCAAAAGTAATTTTTGCAATCGGAAGCAACATTTTTTTTTTTTTTTTTTTTTTTTTTTTTTTTTATCAATAGTTTTAAATAGAATGGAAATCAGACGGCGTCGCACTCTGGACCGAGTCAATAGAAAAAATCGGCCAAAATCTGCAAATTTTGAAAGCTTATATTTTTGAAAATATGAAATAAAAAAGTTCAAGAATGGCTCTATTGCTTTTACGTAAATTTTTCTTTCCGAGACACCCATTGAAATTGAATTTGTGACAAAATAAACATTAATGTTTGAAATTTAAACCAATAATTTCATCCCCGACCTATTCTATTAGCTCGTACCACTGTGCGCCGATAGAAATTGGTGTTTCCGTAGTTTCATCGTTGATTGCATTCTCTAAAAGAATAGAAAAGCCAAGTCTGCCGTGCTAAGGAAGAACGCCGTATGAACATTCCAGAGTTGTCAAATTTCCCTCGATAAACTTTTTATTTTTGAGGAAAGTTCTGCATATTTTTCCTTGAAATTTTCAGGAACTTTACGTGAAATTGCGAACAAAATTACATGAGAAATTGGACGAAAAACATTCATATGTTTACCAAGAAAATTGCGTTTTATCGAAGGATATTTGGCAACGCCTGGAGGTTCATACGGCGTTTTTCCTCGGCGCGGCAGAAGTGCGGTGCATCGATTACCAGGAGCGGGACTGGACACAACTCTCTCGGAGTTGACCGTGGCCCAGTGTGCTCCACATCGATGTTAATGTTCTCTGTTTTAGGAGGGCTTCACTTTTCGATTGCAGACGACCTGTCCCCTGTCCCTATCCCTGTCGATCGTCCTCCGCGCCGTCCCGTCGCTCAGTCCATTGCCTTCCATTCCGCAAATCACTCTTACGTGTTCCATTTTCCTCGTCCCCGTCATTTCAATCTACCGCAAATCCCTTCCCTCCTCTATATCTCTCTTTCTCCCCCCCCCCCCCCCCCACGCCCTTGGATTTCCCGAAGGATCTACAAAACCAGTGGCGAGACGTAAGTAATCGATTATCGATATTCCTCCATAAGAGGGAATGGTGAAGAATCGATTATTAAGGTCTCCGTTGCGAACATCCTGTCTATCGATACTTTTCCATAGGTTTAAATGGCATATCAATCGATTTATCGATAGAATTGCGCAAATGCCCCCTTTTTTAACTTTTTGGAGATGTATAGGATGGCGCTAATTTTATTAGTCTTGAAAATCACATGTTTGCGCGAATATTCAATATTCAACGAAGAAGCGTTAATTTGGCAACCTTGGTAGTTTGTGGTAGATAACTACATCGCGGAAGACTGTTCGTTCCCTCCTTACTTAATTACGGGCATGTTTCCTCTCGATGGATAGCCCTCGCAACACGAATGGCCCAGGGAGCTTTCCTAAACCTTTGAAAAGTGAAATAAGGGCCTGTTGCCGTTACGCGGCCTCCAACCACTGAAAAATTCTACACGTATGAAATTGTGGAATAATCATGTTCAAGGTTTTTAAGAGATGCATGGATTCAAAACCCAACGGGTGCACCCGTGAGAAAGCGTATATTTATCTCTGATTGCAACATTATGCACCACTTTACATTTTATTCTTAATAAATGTTTTCAAAATGATACACACGGTTTTTCTGAAATTTTTCCGCGAATTTACCTAAATTATTTCAAGTAAAAGTATCGAAAATTTCGACGCGATATTTTTTTTGTTCTACTTTCTTTTGATGTAACCAACAAAGAATTAAATATCATGAGAATTTCTAAATCGTTACAAAGAGGGCACATATTTTCCCTTTTATCGTGGTGAAAACTGGAGTAGAAAGTCAAGAATGATAAGACGCAGCCCTACATCATTTCTACAGTCTTGTTGGCGTCAATAAGCATTTCACGCCAACTGGCCGACTGCATTGCGTTTGGCGCAGTGCGAGAAGTATTCATGCAGTCTTGTAGGCGCTGATATGAGCGTCGCGCCGACCGCGCTCTTAGGCGCAATGCATGAAGTATTCCGAAACTCTTGCAGGCGCCAATATACGTTTAACGCCGGCCGCACTGTGTTTTTCGAACTCTTCTTGACTGCGATCTTATCAATGCATTTAAAGAGAGTTTTTTTTCTAGATCTGAAGAGATTGGGCCCTTTTCCTATTACTCCCAGAAAAAAGTCGCAAAAGAAAAGACGGCAAATAATCCAAATCTCGGGTAACTGAAGCGCGGATAGCCGAGACTATTGCGCTACTGTAATATGCCACGCGGTGAATAATTAGAAATCGAAAAAAGTATTATATGGAAAAGAAGAGAAAGGAGAGAGACAGGGAGGAAAAGAATAGAGGGACGATAAGATGACGAAGAAAGAGGAGAAGAAGATGACGACAAGGAAAAAGGATAGAAGGAAGATAAAGATAAATAAGGGTAATATCAACGGTATTACGGAACGTATATCTCGATTTGCGACGTTGCAGACCTACTTTGCCGTGCTAAGGAAAAACGATGTATGGGGCTTCAGACGTTGCCAAATTTCCTTCCGTAAAATCACCAATTTTCAGGAAAATTTGTAAAGATTTTTCCTCCAATTTTTCCGATAATTTGTTCTCAATTTCACCTTGAATTCCTGAAAATTTCCAGGAAAAATATTCATAACTTTCTTCAAAAATGACTGTATTCTGGGAGGAAATTTGGCAACCCTCGAATTTTCCTATGACGTTTTTCCTTAGCTCGGCAGTACTGTCTTACTTCATTTTTTAAAGGGAGAAATACTCAACGCTGTTTCTTGGAAACATTCGATTCCTGACTTTCTTTTCTGATTAAAAGCCATTCTGTAAAATGTCTAAGCGAAAGCGCCGCGCGCCGGTTTGTCCTTGTCTTCCGAGAGACCGATTTGCTGGGTGCTAATACGAAGAGAGACGCGAGTTTGGAGATAAGATCCCAAAGTGAATCTGGGTAGATTTACAAAAAGCAATTTAAACTAGCATATCTACGAATAACATATGGAAAACACACGAAAAACCCGTTAAATTGCCTTTCGCCTTTATCACAGGAGGATGAAAGATGTGCATAAGCTCAAACTTGCTTGCTGATAACAGCCATCTTGTTTGTTTATTTAGGACCGTAAGAACACCGTGTCAGCCTATTTTCTCGCGACCAATAAAAAACCGGCACAGAAATGGCCATACTCTGTCTATAACGGTACTCTAGAGTTAATAACACATCAGGCGTACTGCTAATCTACTTAGCGCATGCGCAAGTAAAAGAAAAGGAAGAAACAACCGGATTGCGAGCTTACTTGGTCGGAGCCAGAACTTGGGCGCGGTAAGGAGCTGCTGGGCGTCGTCGGCGACGAGATGCTTGGCGGCACCACTGACAATATTGCTGTTATTGGTGATTCCATTTCTCATCATGAAACCATCCAGACGGCGGTTCTACGATGTGTTCGCTATCCGAAACTCGAGTTGGCCTCAGCGATTGAAAATGGGCGCGTTGACATTATGGCCGCGGCGCTGAGCTGTGGGCGCCGCGCCGGCCACTTGCGCCCTCTCCGCAACTTGGCCGTCGTCTCCGACACGATGTCGCCCTCGCACCCCCTACATCCCTCCTCCAGCGTCTGAAACACACAAACATAGATTTTAGATTCAAATAAGAGCTGAAAGCAAATGGAAACTGATTTAGGGACGGACGATCATTTCATTGATCGATTAATCGAAAATCTAAGGGAGTCCGTCTCTGATCATCAAATCAATCGAAACAATTTGAAATCCAAAAGCTTCGCCTTCGATAATGGTGATGTTGCATGTGTGAGGGATTTGCGATTTGACCATCAATTCTTATGTAAAAGTTCGCGAGAAACATGACGGTGCCACTGGTTTTCTCTGAAATTATCTTCCAAGCTCAAAAAAAGCTCTCAAAGTGAGGCCAAAATGGAGGGAATAACCCACCCTACCCTGAGAGTCCACCTCTACATCAAGACAAACTCTCCATGCAAAGGATAGGGAGAAAATACATTGACAGGGTTGCCGTGATTTCAGTCTAAGAGTCCTCAAATAACGTGGCAGCCCTGTCAATGTATTTGCTCCCTATCTTTGCATGGAGAGTTTGTTTTGATGTAAAGGTGGACTCTCAGGGTAGGGTGGGATATCCCCTCCATTTTGGCCTCACTTTGAGAGCTTTTTTTGAGCTTGGAAGACAATTTCAGAGAAAACCAGTGGCACTATCGTGTTTCTCACGACCTTTAACATAAGAATCAATGGTCAAATCGCAAATCCCTCACATATGCAACATCTCCATTCGTCGGATCCCTGACGAAGAAACGCAACTCTAATTCAACATTGTTGAATTGACTCAAACAGTTCAATTTTGCCAAAAAATATATATGACAGCGTAATTTGTGTAAAACGGGCTGCTTAGTTTTACGTAAAGCCAGAGGGAAAATCGACAGATTTTCCAGTTCAAAACCTCCAACAGCTTCTTTGCAACATTTTGCAGCATTGAAATGTTCTTACATTCTTTCGCCTATTAAAACGACGTTATTCACAGCGAGAGTTTTGAAAAAAATCATAAGTGCAACGGCTATTGCGTTGGAAAGGAGAGATGAAAATAGGAGTATTTATTGCGTCTGTTGAATGCAACCTAGGAATTTGCGGGCCAGTGAGCGAAATTCAGCATTCAATGAGGTTAAATAAGCTTGTCTATTAACAGTTGTAATAAAAATCCGTCCAAACCAAATAAAAAACAGAAAACTTCCGGTACAAAATTACGATCATCGAGCAACGACTACGTAGGCTCACTTCCAGCTGTCATTTTCAACGTGTGAAGTGGGCATGTGGTTCGAAGTCATTGATTATAGCCTTACGACATTATGTTATGTTCACAAGACTCGGAGAGAAACGATAATCTGTAACTTGTGGATTCCCTAATCTCTCTCATTCTTTCGTAAACTTAGAGCCGGATTAACTGCAAAGGCTTACTTTCCAAACTAAGAACATATCACAGCGGATTAAGAGAACAATAGACAAAATGCAATTAATCACAGGAGCTCCCCTCGCGTACACTCCGTGCCCCCTTTTCCCACCATTTTCCACCCTCCAACTCACCATCCCACTTTTGCACTCCCCTGCACAACCGCACAGCCCGGCCTTTAAAAGCAAACTCGTATTTGAGTGACGAAACGTGTTAATTAATTAGGTAAAAATCATTCCACCGTCAAGGAACTTGTAGCGCTCTCAAGGTGGGGTGTGAATTCAGGAGCTTCAACAGTGGGATGGGCACTTCCTAACTCTGTACAAGATTATTTTCTACGCAAATGTACGCTGGAAGAACCGCATGTACCACTGTAGAAAACGTATTAAAAAAAAAAGCACACGATGGATTTATTTTCATCTTCAATACAAAATGATTTAAATATTTAATGTTAAAATACGTAACGTGTACGTAAATCAATTGACAAATCCTGGACAGAAATTGTGCGATTAGAACTGTGCGGTTCGTGGTAAAATTTGCAATTGCCGTTGTGTGATTCTTGTTGAAACGCTCATTTTGTTATATTTATTTTATTTACATTATATCACTTGGGCGTGTTATCACTTTATATCACATTTTCCGGTCCTATGTTTGACCCTCATTCTGTCTACCGCTCAACTGTAATTTGTGTGTAATGAAGAAAGTACGTACTAAGGACAGTGTATGATTTTGAAGTGACAGGTATTCTTCATTAATAAAATATCACCTACGTTTTATTCGATAACAGTAGGTGGAGATGATATGTTCTTATTAATTTTGTACCAAAGCTGATCGGTTGTTTGAAAAACAACAAGGTGTGGATGTATAATGTATTTGAGTCTTTAGACGTCGTCAAATGGCAATTTGTCTCGAAAATCTCTAGGTTAAATTACGGCCTAAAAATCCAACTGATTTTCGCCGGTTTATAACACACACAATACTAAATTAAAGGTAGCTTTGTCAATTAACTTGATTACTAAATTTAGCTTTTCCAACCTTTGAATCAACTCCATCTTTATTTATCAAAGTTATCATTGTACTTAATTATTCAATGGATTTGCTATAATTTTAATGTGTATCGCGGTAAATACATATAAAACATAAAAAGACTGTATAATAATCATGTAAAACTGAGCACAACAATCAAAATTTGATGAAGTTTCACGTGAGTTTCCCATACATAAAATAAATAAATTCATTTAAGCTATGAGTGCTTTCGATATGATGACTCTATACATAATAATTTTTCCTGATTCATAGTTGTTAATCATATATTCTATACAGCTATATAGCCATTGCATCACACAAATACTCGTTATGTAGGAACTAAAAGAGGCCTCGGACATTATTGTGGCATTACTGACCATCCAACAGCAGCTCTAAATATTTAAAACATTGTGTGATTCTCATTGGACGGCAAGTGGCGATCTTAGGACTGGCATCCAATTTGTCCATGCAGGCTGCAAGCTACACAAGTCCCTTAACTTGATTTTACAGCAAGTTTCGAGGCAATAAACGTGCTTGGAGTGGTACGGAAATTACGAAGGAAAAACTGAAGAAACAACGCCACGGCAGTTAGAAGTCCGAAGGGAAAACTCACTGAGAAGCCAGGTTGGGAAATGCGCCTTCAAGTACGCCCTTAAACACCGGGCGATAACTATTTAGACACATCTGTAGAGGGGTTGCATATTTGATGTCTTGAAGGAGTTCATATAACGTGTCAGAATCACACCTCCGAGATTATAAACTGAATTTTAGCTGGGTGTCCAACTTGAATCACCTGATACCAGCAGCACTCGCTATCTTGATGCTTTTGACCACTCCCGCGCTGACTAACAACTGGGTGCGGTAAAAAACTAAAAATGTCTCTCAGAGAGAATGAATTTTGAGATTTTATTGGAGCTATGCCAATGGAAAAAAAAGTTCGACCGTATGTACCAACTTTCGGTGTTCCATATCATCCCAACTAATTCGGTTCGTCAAACTGAATTTCCGGTTTTCAAACCGAACTTGTACGGTAAAAAGAACTGACGAACTAATTTGGTCATACACTGAAAAAAAAAGTTCGAACTAGTTAGAATCATATGGAATCAGGTTTTGTTCGGTACTCACAACCAAATTATTCGGCCTGTTCAACCGAATTGTTCGGTTTGTGCGACCGAACCATAATAAATTCTTACAGTTCGGTTCAGTGGACCGAACAGTTCGGCTGAGCAGACCGAATAATTCGGTTGTGTGTACCGAACAAAATCGTGGTTCTATACATATGATCCTAACTAATTCGGATTTATCGAACTTTTTTTTTCAGTGTATAGCTCTTAGGGCCCAAAAGGGCGGCAACGTGAAAAACGAAAACCGCAAGAAAAATGCCGCTGCCAACCTATGCATTTGGAAGATTACTCAATATGGCCGACAGCACATTGCAAACAAGCGTCTTTAAGGATTAAAATTTTGAAATTGAGGAAATGTATGCGAAATCAAAAGTTATATACGCGCTCCTATAATATTTGATCATATTAACTAGTTGAAATGTCAAAATTAGTACCACTGAATTATTCGAGTTCATAGGATGGCTCCTCTTTTGGGCCCCAAGAGCTCCATGACCCGATCAAACCTAACCTCCAAATTTTCGCGTTGTCCATACTCTCCCTATAAAGGTACTCCAGCGTATTTTATACTGTGGAGTGCGGCAAAGTCGCTAACTCATTTTTGCCTAAATGGAGATGTTGCATGTGTGAGGAATTTGCGATTGGATTGTTGATTCTTACGTAAACGTTTGCGAGAAACACGATGGTGCCACTGGTTTTCTCTGACATCAACTCCCAAGCTCAAAAAAAGCTCTCAAGTCGAGGCCAAAATGTAGGGGATATCCCACGCTATTCTCGGAGTCCACCTCTACACCAAGACAAACACTCTTCATGCAAAGATAGGGAGCAAATACATTGACAGGGCTGCCACTTTATTTAAGGACTCTAAAATTGAAAACCCGGCAACACTGCTAATGTATTTGCTCCCTATCTTTGCATGGAAAGCTTGTCTTGATGTGAAGGTGGACTCTGAGGATAGCGTGGGATATCCCCTCCATTTTGGCCTCAACTTAAGAGCTTTTTTTGAGCTTGGGAGTTGATTTCAGAGAAAACCAATGGCACCCTCGTCTTTCTCGCGAACTTTTACATAAGAATCAATGGTCAAATCGCAAATTCCTCACACATGCAACATCTCCATTGTTAGTTAGGTGGTATTTTTCGTTGGCCCACGATATGTATCTCAGAATAATGATCGAGTAGTTTTCAAAAAGTTTCTGAAGCTTTTGAAAGCGCGCCAACTCAGTCTTTCCGAAAAATGGAAGTGTTGCGCAGTATCTGAAACGTTGCAATTTTGCTGCACCACGTGCGCGCACTTGGCCCAAATCAAGGGAGCTATGAATTTGTCATGGACACAATAGACCCACTTTCTGTAATCGACAAATCTGCACAAAAGATAGGCTCTGAATAAGTAAAGATGCTCGTCCATCGGAAGGGTGGGTGGCGGGGGTTTTGGCTGAGTGACACGGCTCGGCGATATAATACAAACGGATATTTCGGGTCCGAGTTAGTTCCGACTGGTGAC